TTATTTTACCTTAGAATCAGGCTTACCCTTAATTTACTAGTGTGAAAAGAAAAAAAGCAAACACCGAAGTAAACACTTAACTGATAATGTTACTGAAATAATACATTTGGAAAAACTTCCTGCCTGGAATGTTTTCTGAGGTATGGATCAACTCAAGCTTTGCCCGAGCATCATGCTAAGGACACACACTGTGTCAAGGGTTTAGAACAATGTCTTCCATAAAATACTACTTGTCACTTAGTGTTGCATGCTTAATGCAACTTAAATGGAATAGGCAAAAATATTGCCTTTATCTTTTAGTTTATGATAAAAGCAGAATAGATTGTAAGGAAAAAGAAACTCTCTTTATACACAACACTGTTCAAGAACATCATGTTTTGATTCCCATGGTTTCTTTGTGGAAGATTTGGGGATATCTACTGAATGAGCCCTAAATATTTGTTAAAGATCATGCAAGTGTGGAAAAAATAAGGAATGTGGGGCTGGGGATTCTTTTTTGGTTAATTCAATTTTAATGAAAACAAATAATTGGACATTTAATCTTCCTTTAAAATCTTCCTTCTAGCCTTCAGACCTAGTTCTAATTCCTTGGGATGTGTTACTTCCCCACTTCCTGATTAGGACAGGATTGTTTAGGCTTGTGTAAGATTTGAGTTCCTAAAATTTAAAGACAAATTTCAGGGAAAAAAATGCATCCAGGTGCTTTTTCTACCCTAAAGCGGTACAAAGGCCTTAAATTGTGCTAAATGAGAAGCATGCTTATCTCATCTATAAAAGTTTCAAAATATCTCAGTAAGCAGATGTCCACACAACTTTAACAAACAGTTCTCTATGAATCTCTACTTTACCACTGGATTGTTGCAATGCAACATAGCAACTCTTTGACAAATGGATTGAAAATCAATTGTAGACAACGAGCTCATAAGCAGCTCTGTCATTTGATACCTCAAAAGTACTAATTTCTGTGACTGAAATAATTTGAAGACCCGTATATAATCTTACCAGGTTTTGACTTAGAAGTTCATAGTCAAAAACTTCCTTTTCATATTGCTCTGCAAGTTCTTTACATAAAGCTATGGCTTCTTCCCACATCTGCAATGTAACCACATATTCAAAAAGTAAATCCAGTACCAACAAATAAGTTTTTAATGCATCGCTGTTTAACTACAGTTTTATTGATTATGCTATCTTTAAATTGCAGTCATTTGTTAACCGCAGATTTAAAATGGAAGACTCAAGGCAATCATAAACTCCAGGAAAGCAGATTAATGTAAAAAATAAAAGTGTTTTATGGTTCATTGTAGGAAGGAATAAGTAAACCTACTTTATTCTTGCAATAAGATAATAAAAAATCACCTAATCTTTCAGATACATTAAAAAAGGAGAATAAATCACTTAGGTGCATAACATCCAGAATATACCCCAAGCATGGGAGCGGTGTATGAGGGAACTGACATCTGCCTGTCTTTAAAACAAACACAATTTTATGAGAAATTCTGAAGCATGTGTAATCATAGGTAGCCTTGCATATGACAGCTCTCCTAGTCAGCCAAAAAGTTACAAGACTTTAATTGCCACTCGCCCAGAGAAGCAGCTTCTTTCTTTCCTCACAACTTAATAGCTACCTCTGAAAATTACGATGAGGAATTAGAGCTGCACTGGAAAGACTAGGACAGTTCTTCTCAGCTGCTATAGGCACTTAATGTACGCAGCACAAAAGTGGTCTTAAAGCAGACAGAAACTCTCTCTCTTGAGGATATTTCTCCAATTCTGTCATTCTTATCCATTCAGAATAAAGGAGACAAAAGGGATTTTCTGGGCATCATTCTCTACTGATGTAAGGACGCTGGTGCTCACAGACATTATGACCATTTTTACGTGGTGCCATGTACTTCTAGGCTGGGTAGTTCTGAACCTGACAGCTGCATTCACCTGCCTGCAAACCTCTTCTGACATGTCTGTGGAGAACCTGAATGCCAGGCAGACCAGAAATTAGGAAGATTTGATTATTCTGATACAGTGGGTGGAGAGTGCTACATTGTGGTTATTTCAGATGTCAACAAAAAAAACCTGAGAAATTATAAATAGCACTGCATTCTCCTACACCAAAAATGTTCAGTCTTCTGAATTACAGGAGAGACTTTGGTGTCAGAGTTATGCCTTCCCCCCTCACACCTTTGGATACAGCTGAACAAGACATAATGACCCAAAGGCCTTACTGGGTCGTAAGATTTGTTATGCAGCACTACAGAATTTTTCCCTGCTTTCTAGTCCTTTGCTTTATTTCCAGAAATCTCAACTCTACTCTCATTGTATTGACAAGCAATTTTAGTAACAGATTTTTTTTAAAAAGCTGAACTAAACCCAGATACTGAACATCAAACTACTAAATTTTAAGTTCGAGATGCAATTCTCAGACTTCTCTGAAACAAACATTTCTGTTTTGATCTGTCTGGTTTTTGGGGAGATAATGGCCAAATGGTTTAGAAATGCAATCTGCGTAGTCCATATTGTTTTCCTAGTAAAGTACATTCAACATTTTTTATTATTTTATTACTGCCTGACAGAGATGCTTGTGACCAGTATAAGCATTAGCCTGCTTTCCTTGTGAATGTGGTTACTAAAAGACCGTGTTTATATAGAACACATATACTCTGTGAATAAGCCTTGAGGACACAATTTTTACTTGACCCACATTTCCAAGAGGATTTTCTACACAAACATTTTATAGAGAGAATTATTCATTAAATATTATTATACAACGTAACACATTAAGAAGAGATTTGGCAGGGGGAAAAACTCTGTAGACCTACCTTTCCTTTGTCAAAGTATTCTATGATCTTCTCATACAAATTCTCTTTCAAGTGTCGATAGGTCTGTGAACACTGGAACTCTGTTGACATGACTTGGGGTGCACACTGTTCATCTGACCACTGAGAATAAGACCACATTAAAAACACATAAGACCTCAGAGTTCAATACTTCACACACACGTCCTCCCCCCCTCAGAGTGTGGTCCCCTGGGCTCCTCTGAGTGTTTTTTTTTTTTCCCAGGCATTTTTATGCTCCCACAAAGAAACTGGGAAAAACACCAGGAATGTTTTCATTAGCTCTTCAAACAAGTGCTGTATTTCATATGATAACCAGGACTACACATAACATGTTAAAAACCTGTGTTCCTTCCTGCCCCCCACAAAAATTCTGAATAAAAATCTATGTGAGAAAATGAGTTCATTTTATTTCAGTGTTGTTGTCTTCCCTGATTTGGTTTTGATTTTTTTTGTATTAAAACAGCTGCATATAATATTATCTTTGTCTATATCAATACATACAATATACCTCATATTTTTGTATGATCAGAAAAGTCAAAATGAAGTTTAAGCAAAATAGCACTGTGAAAAGCCAAATTTATATGGTTCTGCACTACAAGAAATTCCATAAGAAATATCAAATTTTTGCTGAAGAATATTTAAATTTTGAATTTTCCCTTGAAATGGAAATGCATCTTATCGGCCATTTCTATTGATAACACCAGTTACAATGAGATTAAACATTAGCTGTAGCAAAAAATAATTACCAGCTTAAAAAGAAAGCAAACTTAATTTGGCAGAGTGATCCATATTATTTAAAATAAAAAGTCAGATGTCCCCCTCTGATAGCTGGAAAAAATTGCATTTAATTTTCATCATTGTTATGTTTGGGATGGTAAGAAATTAACAAAATGAAAACCATGTGGAAGTTAAATGCCCTCAGAATTTATACAGAATATTCTTTCTATAAAGTAAAACTATTTTTGCTACAATCTTTAGTTTTGCCAGTATGCAATAAATCAGAGATTAAGACAATCACTTTTTAATTTATAAATTTGAAAATTGCCAAAGCTTATTTATATATTGTGGTTAGAAAATCTAACCTTCAAGAGCCAAGTATGCAGTAGAAGGGTATATGCTGCTTCCGTGTAATTCTCACAATCTAAATGAAGATCTCGCAATTTATACAAATATCTGTTAGAGGACAGAACAAGAATTAGACTCAATATTGACATGACTGTAATACTAAGCATCAAAAAAGTTGTAGATAAACTCTGTAATGGAAACTTCATAGATGTCCCACAGTCACCACCCAAAGAGTCTTTAAGGACTCTCAAAGAAGCTCTGCACATTTGCTCAGACTTCTCTGTACTCTCTTTGTATGCTGAAACATTGCACACAAAAGGAGGAGAAAGAGCTAACCTCCTTCTGTGAACTGCTGTCAGCTCCACCTCTAAGAGGAAGAACTACTAAACTCAAGGTCTAAGTCAGACCTCCAAATCCTTTATTTCTGGACTATTACTGAAGGGAGCTGCTTTTTTCTGAAGCACTTCTCAATTGCATGGGAACACTTTCTGTGTAAATAGATGCAAGCACAACAGATAACACAAGGTAAAGGAGAAAACGGAAAATACCAGCCCAGAAAGACAAAGCAAGTCCCTGTACAACTTGGAAAGTGGTAAGGGCATAAGTGTTGTTCTATGTTGCCAATGTTCTCCCTGCTCCCTAGGGCAGCATTGCCGCTACAAGCACAACCACTCCCCATTGTGTGACCCAAGTCCACATCTCTTCCAGTAGCCGCAAAGAAAAAGTGCATCCCATCCTCTAACACACCACAGGAGTTTTGAAACAGGAACTGCAACACCTTGCTCTAGCAGTTCAAGGCATCACCATTCCAAGCTGTCAATCCAACTGAAAACGTGTCCCCCTCAGCAATGTCCCCCTCAGCAATGCCCACAGAGGGAGTGTTGTTCCTCCCTGGCCACTCCAGCTGCTAGCTCCAGGTTTAGCTCTGAATCATCTTCAGTGCTCATCTCAGCTGTGATTCTGGGCTTTGTGCTGCAGTGGCTGAGGTGCTTGTGGTTCTGCAGACTTTGCAGAATGAGAGGAGAGGCAGGAAATAATTGTGAGCTTTTGAACAGCAAGATTTGCTGCAGGTCATATGCCAAACCCTTGGAGACAGCAAGAGGCCATGACATATCTGGAAGAATTTGCCAGTATAGCTATAGCTCTTACACAGAAACACTTTACTAGTAATTCGCCATTGCGGGAAGTGTTGCATATTTAAAGAGACTTGGCAGACTGCACAGTTCAACAAAACTTGAATGTTTTTTCTCCCATTCTAAATGTATGGTACACCCTCTGTCAAACCTGAAATCTAGCTGCATTTTCTTTGTTTGAAATAATAGACAATGAATATTGAGTGATTTGATCAACTAAAATTTGATTCTTGGGGAAAAAATGCTGCGTATGAATACAAATTACAGATTCTAGACTGCTGAAGGCTGAGCAAACGATGGAGCAAGAATATAAATGAGGGCAAGGCTACAGAGTCATTATGGACAGTAACTAATGTTAAGTAAAAGAAATCCAAGTACAATGATAAAAACCAAATTCATACAACAACATTATCGCCCTCTCCAAAACAGATCCAACAGAACAACTGCCATACCTGATATACATCTCTTCACGGTTAATGTCCTTGTAGAAATTCTAGGGACACAAACATTCAAAAGTTATCTCTTAGTGACTTTTATTAAAGCACAAGATAAAAATATATATGCTGAGGTTTTGCTTTTCTTGCTAGCTGGATAGCTTAAGAAATACTTTCTTTACAGACTATCTTTAGTTTAAACCTGGCACTACTGCTTCAATTAATATTTTAATTAGTTATTAGTATGTGTTGTTATTATTAAACATACATACGCACACTTCTAGTTCACTAATTAAATCATTAGTGAAAGTTTTTCTGTTTGAGAAGAGGAAAATACAGTGATCTAAATGCGTTAAAAATAAACTACATGCTCTGGCTATACTTGATGGCCAGAAAAGCAGCCAGTATTTATTGAAGCTGACACGTAACACTGTTGATATCTAACACTGTTGTGCAATACCTCTAGAGGGGCTAATTCCAGGGTTAAGCCCATTTTTGTCACCATAACACTTTGTCAGGTATATGAGTTGCTAGGGCTGTGCAAAATGTACAACAAGAATTGCCTCCTGAATTGCTGCAGAAATTTATACCACATTGTGCAGTGACTGCTGAGGAACTGAGAGTGAGTGCAATATGTATTAACCACGTTCCCTTTCCAACTTTTAAAGTTGATAAACGTTCCTCTTCGGCTTAGAGGAATTTCCTGGTGGAAGAATCTCTATATGTGACATCCTCATTACAAAATAGGAATAGAAATAAAAAGACGGGGTGGCCTAGAACCAGATCAGACTCAAATCTTGTTGGCGCCTTACTGCAAGTGTAACTTGCAGGCTTCTTCCCCAGATTTCAAACCCATAATTGTTCAGTTGCTAAAGCAGCAAGTGGGTTAGTTCCTCATGCAAAACTTGACTCCGGCAGAAGCCCACTGTTACACTAAGCCTATCCACAGGTAAAGGTATACGAACACTAGACTTCCTTACTTATCCACAGAAACACAGTGGATAAAACATACAAGCAAAACCAAAGAACTGAGTGGACACTGCCTTCAGGTGTGTGCATACAGCCATGCAAATAGATACAAAAACCTCTTGCCTCAGAGTTTAAATCACTACTGAGCATCGTCAACCACTCCTGTCCCCAAGAAGATTTACCTTCATCTTTAGTGAACGGATTCTAGAGCTCTCCTCAACTCTCACACAAGAATTACGAGAGGAAACATACCAGTAAGTTCACAGTGCAGCTCATGCGGTTGTCCTTGCTTTCATCATTCATCACTGTTCGGTAATCCAGCAGTTTCTCCAAAAGGCCTTTAACCAGGCTGACAAAACTTTCAACCAAGTGGAAAATGCCGGGGTACTGACTCGCACACTCTGTAAGACTGCAAACACAAAAAAAATCCTTTTACAATACTGCAAATGTTAGTACCCCATCAGCTGAAAACCTGTTTGGACCTGGAGGCAAATGCTGAATTAGGGCTAAAGCAACTGCAGAACGCCCAGGAAACTGCCTTTGTGGGTTGGTATTTTATATATCCAGAAGACAGACAGGATGCAAATCCAAAGAAAAAAACTAAACATTTACTTTTCCTGTCTGACAATGACTTCAGATTCAAGGGTGTACCCACAATTTCAGAATGGAGCAACCTGCATCCTTGGTATAATGAACTCAAGTCTCTGGAACATCACACTACTGCAATAAACACTAGACCTTGCTTTCCTCTGTTATGGCACAAGATAAAATGCAACAATTATTTCTTGGTAAAGTTATGTGCAAGTAGAAAGTTCAAACTAACATAAATTACAATTTTAAGTAAAAAAAGACATTCACTAACAAGACCTCACCAGAGAAATTTGCCCTTGAGAAATAAGGAAAACCAAACAATAAATATGGATTAAAATAAGGAGTCAGTTCTCTTCTGATAAAATTATAGGAAAGCAAGTTTTATACTTCATCAACATATTCCAATTTACATTAACAAAATATTAGTATAAGCTGTTCCTATAAAGTGCTGAAGTATTTAGGAGTAGATATTTCACATTACTAACATAGCTTTGTTTTCAAAGCTTAACTGTTTAAACATTGAAGTGATTACCAGCATCTCATTAAGGATTATTTTTTTCTTTGCTTAAGAGCTTATTTCCTCCCTTTCACATTCTGGTTTTCCATTGGGATTCTCTCTGACAAGCTGCATTTTTAATATATATCTCTCTCTATATATATCTATCTATATTCACATATATATTTATATATGCACGTATTGTGTCTGGCTGAGCTGGAGTTAATTCCCCCCAGCAGGGCTGCATGTTGCACTGGCAGCTAGGAGGGTGTTGATAACCCAGCAGTGTTTTGGCTCCTGCTGGCACAGCACCAAGGCTCTCTCCAGCATTCCCCCTACTCACCCCCCAAGGCCAGTGGGCTGGGGGTGGGCAGGATCTTGGGAGGGGACAGAGCCAGGACAGCTGGTACCCAAATTGACCAAAGGAATATTCCACACCACATGACATCTGCCCCTCAGAAATAAAAGCTAAGAGAAGGAGGAGGGGGAGGGTATTTGTCTTCCAAAGCAACTGCTGCACCTACTGAAGCCCCGCTTCCCGGGAAGTGGCTGGACATCACCTGCTGGTGGGAAGTAGAGAATAAACGTTTTGTTCTCCTTTGCTTCTGCATGCAGCTTTTGCTTTATTCAACTGCCTTTATCCTGACCCACAAGTTCTAACCCACCTCCCCGTCCCCATCCTACTGAGGAGGGGGATGATAGAGCGGCTTGGTGGGCAGCTGGTGTCCAGCCAAGGTTAACCCACCACAAGGCACACAGTAATTACATGTATATTTGGCACATTCTATTACTGACATATCAAAATCACCATGTATGTCACAGGAAAATAGTAAAAACAAACTAGCAATTGCAAAATTATCCCTGAAACTATGCTATGTGCTTAAGCTGAGTAGTTTCAATGACAGTATTATTAACGTCTGACCTCTTGGTGTCTCATTAACAGCGCTCAGTTGATATACAAATACATTTATTAATTTATTATTAATCTTTAAGTACACCATCATTTTTTAAACTTTAATTAAAAAGTATTGTTTTAATTAATTGCAAAAATAATGTTTTAATCCTCAGAATTATTTAAGCTTTCCTCAGAATATACATATTCATATTAACTTCAACTGCAAAGAAATGGATTTGCATTTGAAGCTTTGGCCTAGAATGGGACCTCAGCAAAGTACCCAGTCCCAAAGTTCTAACTCAAGCAAAGTAAAAACAGCACATAATATTTATTCCTGTGATTGTACAGATCCAACAGTTATTTGGCTGAGACAGGGAGTGTGTACCTGCCTGTCTGAAAGAACATTTATACTGCACAAGATGTGACAGACAGAGGCTAACAGATAAAACCAGAACACTTTCATTGTTGTTGTCTGACTAGTCTGAAACAATAACTGAAATATTTAAGTAAATTATTGAAACATAGTTTATGACATTAAACATATTGCAAATAGAATGTTAAATACTAAAGGGTCGGGAGAGTTGACAACTGACAGAATAGGCTGGAGCAGTTAAATTATATTTGTGGAAAATAAAGTAAGAAAACCTCAGAATCATATAGGAGACTAGAATACAGGAAAAATTGGGTTATTTTCTATATGTAAGTATCAGAAACAGGATACGATGCTAACAAAGGAAAGTACAGTCACCATTTAAGTGAGTAGTATGAAGTTTTACCATAGCTTCACTCGGAGTGACAGCAAATGAGGCAGACCTGTGAACATTACTCACACTTCTTTCCAATACAGGTAGAAAAACACTGACATAAAACACAAGATATTGTTAGAGTTCAGCCAGGATATAGTACCTAGCTCCAGTCACTAAAGAAAGATGAACTGGAGTGCATGTAGAGGAGAAGAACTACAAAATAATCAGGAGAGAGGAGCACCTGTTCCATGACAGAAAATTTAAAAAGTTGTCTTGCTCAGCTTTATACAATAATCCCAATAAAAAGGAGCCATAAAACTTTAGAAGATTTTTCTTCCCGCAGAAGGGAGCAAGAAATCAGTGAATTTTTGAATAGAGCTCACTCAAAAAAACAACTGCATAACATAGTCCACTGCAGTGATGGGGAACTGGAAAGCTACCAAATGCTCTTTTCTGTTTATATTAGCAGAATTCATTCTCCAAGCTTCTGGAAAAGTGGCATAGTGGCATGTATTCATACAGCTAGATTCTCCTCCCTTTCCCAAAACAAGGGAGCCCTGTCTCTTCTGTCTATTGAGAACAGCCTCTCCTCTGTTCCGTATTACCCCAACTCCTCCTCGGTGCTGTCTGGGACAGCATTCACTAGCACAGGTCACAACCCCGCCACGGCACATGCCAACATTTAGGACTACGGACAACTGCAAGGCAGCACTTAAACTCCAGTTGATCCTATTTAGTTTACTGGGTGTGGGGAAGTGCCCAGCAGCCAACCAGTGTGGGTAGGTGGTGGTTACAGAGGGGAGCACCAACACACACAACAGTCATTGACTGTGCTGAATATCTGCATCCAGGTGGCAACTGGAAAGATGCAAGAATACAGACAAGTTACAGGAAATGAGTTGATGAAAATATGAACAAATGAATAAATCTGGAGCTCAATTTAACTGGGTTTCTATCCAGCTAGAACAGGGAGTTGGGGATAGAGGCTTGAAATCCCTGCTTTGAAAGGTGTGAAGGTAGGAAGACTTAAAGCAGAACAAACCAACCAAACAAAAACAAGAGAGAGAAGAGAACAGGGTCCTACCACAGACAAGTCACCAGCCTCTGCTTCAGCTGCCCCTCTACAGGCATCATTAAACAAATTCAAGCATGGAACACAAAATACTATCTGGAGATACTACAAAGTGATATTTTTAGAAGTGTGGAAACCTTGAAGTCTTGCAGAACATGGGAGAGTATCAAGGGGAAAAAAAGATGTCAAAGAAAGAGGGCACCTTGGGAAGGCAGGAAGATCAAATGCTGTGCAGTAGGTTTGATGAAACTATTTATAACCACACCACTGAAAGATGGGGTTTAACTGGATAGGTACCAGTTCTCCAGAAAAATATCTGAATGCAAGAGTAAACAGCAAACAAGACAAGCAAACAATGTTTCACAGCTCAGAAAAACTAAACTTCAAAGAGTCTCATACACAAGACGTGAAGGAAGCTTTTCTCTTTGCACTGATAAAGTCTCAGTTTGAACTCTCTCTCCAGCTTTAAGGCAATGTAGTATTTCAAAAAAGATGTAGACGCTGCAGGAAAGCCCGTAAAATATTGCATATGATAAAATGAAATACTGGGGTTGTTTACTCTAAAGAGAAGACCAAAGGAAACTTGACAGAAACTTTTATATTTGTTAGAAGCTGCTACAAAGAGAAACAGAATAAAGGATTCTTTATGTCCCCTGTGGGTAAAACAAGAAATAATTGGCTTAAACTGAAGCAAGGAAGATTTAGTGTGGATATTTGGAAAAAAAACTTACTAGCAGCAAGGAAAGTTTAGCACTGCAATAAATGTCCTCTGTGTCAGCTGAATCCCCAGCATTAGAGATGATGAATTGTAGCGACAGTTTAGGCAGGCACCGTGGTTTAGGCTTTGCAGCAGTACAATTAAAAAAACTACGTACTTGCAGGCCTCTTTTTGGTCATACCGAGCACTAGTCTGAGCAGCTCTGCATTGCCTCTTAGCTATCCTAAGAATTGAAGCCAAACAGTAAACATTCAAACTTGAAAAATTACTCTTGCTCTCACTTTACAGTCATTGCGTGTTAGGAAGGGAAAGACACATTTTTAAAACTTCATCTGTCCTTGCCAGTGTATCAGTTTAAAAAAATAGTTTTATATTGCTTACAAAGTGTCAGTACTTTTACTTTTTTCAAGTGTGCCTCTCTGTATTTTATCTGCCTCCTCACAGGACAGAAATTAAAATAACCTAGCGAACACTTAAATTATGTTTGATTTAAATGATGTTTCTTTTAAATTATACTATTTAATAAGAATATAATTACATATTGTCTACATAAGGTAACATTTACATTATTATTATTTAAGTATATAACTCAGTATTTTTTACAAAATTACATTTTCACTGAAAGTAGATGATTTTCCATTGTGGTACACACAAAGTTTTCATGCTCCATCTGGTGACTTTGCGGAGATTGCTACCCCTACACAAAAATACAGTACATCCAAGGTAGCAGGCTTGAGAAAGTAAAACCATGCACACTCAATGTCACAAAGCGTATATCGGTTTTGTCCCATAGCCAGAGTGCTACAGCATTTTTATGGTTAATAACTCATAGGGTATCAATGTTTGAGAAAGTGTACGGTGAGTGAGGTACCTTCCCACTGCTACAGTGTACGGCACAACGCTAGGAACAAATTCTCAGAGGCAGGCGCAGGAATTCCACCGCTGCCCCATACATCACACACACAACCTGCCACAAGCGCAGACACAGCTATTAAGTCCGAGAATAAAACAGTGTGGGCAGCCAAGAAAACAAGGAGATGCTATATCAGGCTTTGGGATTGTTACAAATATAGAAATAGAAATATTTTTATTAAACTGTACCACCTCACAATATTCTCCGTCCAGGATAGTCACGTTATGTACATTCAGGTTATGATCTCTTGGAGTTCAATTTAGACACTAAGAAAGGCAAGTAAGACATTTTAAAATACCTTTTTCTTATTGGTGTGAAATAAAACCAAGAAAGGTTATAAAGAAAAATAGGAAAAGACTAAAAAGTGGGGTGAATATTTGATTAGTTGATTATCTTTGCTTAAAGGTTGGATAAAAAAATGCAGGTTAGGTGTAATTTCTTTATAAATTAGCTGGAGCACAGAATATTGAAAAGTAACCAGGGAAATAGTTTCAATGAGCAAAACTACAATTCAAATCAGGTTTACTGAAAGAGTATGCTATTTCCAGTCCCCTCATTAAAAAAAGCTGCGAAGATCCTTGTTTATTTTTAAGTGATGTTACCAACTTGAGAAATGGAAACAAGATAAAAACACATCCTGAAGGCATTTTATTCTTACGCAGTACTTACATGGACTCAAACAACTGCATGTAGTGTTCATCCCCACGTCCTCCTTCCACCTCATGGTCCAACTTCAAAATGATTTCATTTTCAAACTAATAAAGAAAAATCAGAACACTGAGCAGCTATCCAGAGGTCAAACACATTTCAATATGGCATCAAAAGCCCATCTGTGTACAGTTCTATCAGGTATTCCCGAGGGGTAAATGCTTGAATCTATTCCAGGGGAATAATGCACATCTGCCTGTCTCCAGGTATCTTTGTACAAACTGATAAAATAACCAGAGGAAATACGCTTACGGTGTCTCTATTATGGGTTTTCACAGAACACCTCTGATTCAAAACGCAGAATTTCAGACTAAGTAGAATCACTTTCACCCAGATAAAACACGAGCAATCCTACAGTGTGCAATACCTTATTTAATGCTATTTGTTAGGTCTGTCTAGACCCTAATTAAGAAAAAGCGACACACAAACAAAGCTTACAGAGAAGCACTACATCCCAGTCTGCACAGTCAGCCTTGAAACTTCAACCTAACTACTGGGATCAGTCATTCCTATAATTTTTTTTTTTTTTTTAAGCTGAGTATCTGAAGATGTTATCTATATTATTTACTTGCCATTCCTGTTACACCCTGTAACAATCTCTCATGTACTCTTCCAGTTGTTTTACATAATTAAACAAGGGAACCACAATATTCAGAAAAAGATAAAACTTATTTCCCAAGTTTGTCACACAGATAAAGAAACGTTCTCTCGGAAACTAATGCTAACCTGTAAAATTGTTGTTAGAAACACGCATGCAAATTGTCAATGACAATAACTTGACAGCTTTAAAATGTAATAAACTCCAGCAACACCTCTGGAGAATTTCCAGGTAATATACCATACTAATATACCATTACCCCTTAAAGAAATGGGAGTACCTGCTGGATTATATTCTAACCCAGCACTTTGCAGGGTCATACCCTAATTATATAAAGCGTCTATAAATTGTTAATAAATTGTTAATGTTTTATTGCAATATACCTACACAACTCTAATCTGATGTTTCAAAGCCTTTGCAATACATTATACACAGGAAACTGCTTTACCATCTTGAGTTAATCCAATCTGATATGTCTAGATCAGAATTTGTAATTAGTTCACAATGCTTTTATCATATAGTATTTAGGTCCAGGAAATTAAAACCTGGAAACTATAAAACATACATATGGTTTGTTTGGGGTTCTCCCCCAGCCTCCTCCCTTTCCAAGCACCTTAAAGCATGCCAGATTTGCAGTTTCAAAAAATGTCCTCAAATAGTTGATATTTATGTAGTGTACTCGTAACAGAAATAGACAAGATGAGTTGAGGGGGCTTTTTTGTGTTTGGTGGTTTTTTTTTTTTTCCCTCAATATAAAATGAACAATACCAGTAGAAAATTAAAGAAAAAAAAAATTAAATATAACTTAAGTCAGTTGGAAATTTACCGGGAGAGCATTCCAAGGAAAATATATCCCCACTAATATTGTCCAGGGTCGATCCAGGCATTTTGAACCAAATTTACTGGTGTGCTAGCCTACTGCTGTCCTTAAAACATGATCTGAAACAATTAAAAAAAAGTGCTCAAAAAAATAAAGTGTTTTAAAAATAACCTAGCTGGTTATTTCAATTTTGGAAAACAGAAAACTAAGTAAAATTAATGTAATATAAAAATATTTCATGTCCGAAAATAATATAATTCAATAAGCTTAGCAGAAATAAATACTAATATCAAAATATCACAGGTTTTAAGATATATATATAAAAAAATCACTAAAAGGCAGCCAGCTTATTAGCATAATTTTTCCCAGGCTTCAAATAGAACGCTGTGAAGAAGCCGGTACCTTTTTGCACCTGCAGGTTGGAAACTCAGCACAAATGTAAGTACAACACGAACAGAAATCCCCTTCAAGGCAGAGCCATTCTTTTATTGCCCAGGCTCTAGCTCTGACTACCATAGGAACTCTTTTATACTCTCTGGTTACCGAAGTCAGTCTGACCTTGTTCTGTGCTGTGCCCTTACTGAATACCTTCATCGCTTCTAAGCCTCTTGATGGATTATTTTCTTTGATTCTTCATTCTTTGACATCTCTTTTTGGTTTGTTATATGAAAACCCTAGAATTTATAAAAGCATTCCAAGATTCATTGGCTCGATTCACAGCCTGGGCTTTTAGCACTGCTGAAAGCCTGGACGCACCCTTTCACTAAGTTTCCATTCCCCTGGGCGTGCCCTCTGTGTGATACGCCAAACTCCAAGTGTAAGTGCAGCCACAGTCAGTCTTTGTTCTCATCCAACTCATGTTATCACGTTCAGATTCCATCACATGAGAAAACGACTTGATACAGACTTGTAAAGAATCTGCACTGTTTGTAATGCTTTACAGGTTTTTAATGCCAACGCTTCTTTCAATTTTCCTAATGTGGCTGTTAAGTTCCTCCTTATGCAGTCACAACAAGTCTCCATCCCCTCACCCCAAGATTTCTACTAAAACATTTGAATATCAGATGAATAAATTACCCAGGCATGGCAAAATTTATATTCAATTTTTATTTCTAACAGTTCATGTAAGAATGTAAGACATTGTTCCATACAGCACGGTGAGGGAGCAGAAAGGAAGGACTGCTTGTTTGTGTGTGTTCTGCTGCCCTGTGAGTCAGCTGCAGACACTGAAAATGATGGATTGCTCGTAAGCGAGCTATGAAGCACACACGCTAGTGAGAGCAGCAGGCAGAAGAGTGCAGGTAAGATGACATTTCAGAAAAGCAGGAACAAGTGTAAAACAGACTTTGCCAGGTGCTAAACAAAAAACTTGTGTCCTAGTAAGAGCTAGCTTCAGACAAAAGAAACCTTGTCACAGTATTTTCAAGAAGAGGTGGGAAAGATCTGCCACAAGGTTCTAGCCATTAACCCATCAAGAGGCACAGAGAAGCAATAAAAAACCAGGAGATCTACACTGAATAAAGCTCTGTTGCTTTATGTAGATATAATTATTAAAAGCACTGTAAAATGGCAGAGAATTCAGTCATGTACTAACACAGCAAATGTTTTTTCTTCCACCAAACTTTCAGTATATGAATAATTGTGTTTTTTCCCCGGACTGTTTCTGTGTAATGGAGAACTTTGGCAGACTGGGATCCAGATCATCCCATCAGAGAACTGGAAGCCTTTCAATGCAGAAAGAATTACTGCAGTATTTTATATGCAGTAATAACTGCAGATAACTGCAATGCAAGATATTTTTCCTTATTTAAATATATCCTCATCAAAAAGTTCAGCCCCAAGCTGGAGAAACCAAGCTTAAGGCTAGATATAACAAACTAGTTCTTCCCCTTAGAACACCCAGCAGGTCATGTGTATCTTCCGGCTTAGGTTTTGGAAGGAACAATTAATTCCTTCAGATTGTAGGGAACTGAAAATACGTTACTACATGTACTTCCTTCAAGCAGGTCATGATTTAAGCTCTCCACCCAGAAAAAGCACTCCCCGTTTTTCTGCAGAATATTTTATATCCTTCATTTTTGTCCTGAGATTCAGCTAAACAGGACCAGCAAACGTCAAAGATCAGACTCATTCCAGAATATAGGCCAATCAAATTATTTTACCCCTAAAATCAAGTGCAATTAGGTTAAAACCAGCTTCTTTGAGAAACAGATTTATAAGCAGAAATGTCTGTTTAAACATCCTTAGATCTATCCTTGAGAGCAACCTAAAAAAAAAGAAATACACATTCTATTCAAATGTAGAGTTTTAAGGTAACTGGCAGCTGTTACATGCTTGCTATCCATTCACTGCAGAATTTCTCAGGTTTCACCTTGTCACAGCAACAAGTACAATTCCATAGCGAGACAGAAGAACTACCTGGATTGCTCAACTCAAATGTTCATCAAAGACAGCAGGAAGCCATGCATCCAGCCCAGATCTACTGGGCCATCCCAATGCTGCAGAGGACTGAAGTGGGCTGTAGCTCCTCTGAAGGAGCTTTGACACAGTCTTGAGTGGCCTGACTTGTACACCGTCACACAGAAAGCACAGAACTAGGTGCAGGAAACTGGGTGATACAGATACACCCTCTTTTCTCCAGAAGCAGCAAGAAGGAAGGAGCAATTTCAAACACTTTGCATTTTTTACATCAAGTTAAAACAGCAAAACCACAGCCGTCAATGTGTGAAACCAAAACTGTTCGTACCATTACAATGCAGCACCAGACAGATACGCTTCAAACAGAAATATTTAAACACTTCCCAGGGGGTTGACATGATACACAAGACCTTGAATACAAGTTGTGTAAATACTATACAACAGCATAGAGAGGCGACTTCTCCAGCTCAGCACCAGGTATGGCATATTTAAAGATGACTGAGCAGCAAAGGAGTGTTCACGAAAATATGAATAGAACTGTTTTAAATGGACATAGAATGGTTAAAATCTTCTGCCATCTGGAGGAAGGGGAAAAACGAGAAAATACGTTGCTATTTATTATAAGTGAGATGCTTACATATGAAAGGTCATTGCTGAATATGAATTTGCAAACCTGCGTAGTATGAATATGAGAAAAATTCATAGCAGTATAGGACTAACTTCAGCACAACGGAGCAGCATGTAGTCATCCACTATTTCAACAGAAGTTGGCAGGGAATGTTTCATCTCCGTGGCGTACTCAATAGGCTCTACACTGCCCCTCTAAATATCGAGCTCAGATCTCAGTCTCCATTTAAGAGACACCTCCCAGCGTTCTCCGAGAAAACTATCCATTTTTCAGTAGAAACAGCAATCCCGTTTTCTGATTTGTGTAGAAGGAAAGGACTACTACATTAGTACAATTTCTTAACTACTTGTTAATAGGAGTGTCAAATAAGAGGGAACCTTATTTTTTTCTTTAGAGACCACAAATAATTTTGCTTAGTTAGGAGTACCAACACTCTGTGATCCAGAACAACTCTTTGTCCTGTCACTTGCAGGTTTTGCCGCTCTAATATTAGCTCTTTCTCTGTAATTAGAATACAAATTAAAGATTGCCGGTGGACCAGTACATACTATACCAACAGTAGAGAATAAAGAGCTTTCATTGAAATACAGGAAAAAAATTACTCTGGCAGGTCCAGGCTGCAAAAGACATTTAAATAGCTCAGAATTAATTTCTACTTGTAAGTAGTATGTGTATTAGCATATACACATGTGTATTAGTAACATGGGTAACACAGGTACATGGCAGGTTTGGGACAAGGCAGTATTAAACAAAAACATCCAATCCAGACATTTTCTAGAGCTGAAGTCTGTGGACTTGCTGCAGTAAGAGAAAAATCTATGAATATAGTGCAAGCACCAGTTAAAAATCACCTCTTAAATCCTTCCTAGTACTTATTCAGCAGGTAGAGAATTGATTACTTCTCTAAAAGGCAATAATTTCACAGATGCTGGATCTGAACAAAAAAACCTCTTCCTAAGCATCTTTCCTGCAGTTTCTCAACAAGCTGCAAAAAAAGCCAGTTGTTAGAACCAAAATAAATAAAGAAGCTGGCAAATACAGAATTAAGTTTTAATGCGTCTGTGCCCTGGAAAGGGTCTTTCTCCTCTAACTTAAACAGAGTGTGCCTAATTGTCATTGGCCTCAATTTGGCTTTAAAACCACCTGCTTATCTCTCTAACAGATCCAAGAAATCTCCACATTTCCGAACACACTTCAGTACTAAAGCACTAAACATCTCTGTTTTTTCTCCATGGATCTGTCAGAAGCACCAAGCCATACAAACTTGGTTTCTGCTAATGGGACGATCTCACAGCCTTCTGAAATCCTCATGCATAATGACATTTCAAGAACTGCTGGTAAGAAATATGGGTATTGACAGCAATTGTAAATCACATGCACCAGGCAGAGCCTGCTGAGAACACCTATATTCACTCCTTTAGGAACCTTTGAGAGTTGTTAGCTCAGAAAGATACGAGACTGCAACAAGTTCACTAAGAATAAACATCTGTCCTCTAACCCCCCCAATAGCTAGGTGAGCCCAGAACACACCATTGCTCAGCACTGTTTCCTGGCACAGTCCAACAACAGTCAGGAAGGAAAGCAAATATAGAAAACTTCCCCAGATGGCTTCAGCAATTGTTGGAACCAATGAGAGATACTAAAATGAAAACACCAAACACAAACAGAATGACTTATCTGAACAAAAATATAAACACAGATGAATTAATCTTTCCTAAACCAAGTTAAATCCTTAATGTAACTTGAATCCAGGTTTATTTCAATGGCATTTTCATTTACTCTGCAAAGAGCTAATCTTTGTGGGGTTTTTTGTAAGTTTGGTTTGTGTTTTTGTTTTGTTTTCAGTAAGTCTTTTCTAGCTTTTGGCTTCAGATTATCAGTTAGAAGAAATAGTACTAGGTTGCTTGATGATGTGTCTTTCTTACGGAAGTCTTAATAAAACGTACAACCTTGGGTTATCAACATTTGGAGGATGGGATTCTTTTAACATCACGTGTCCAACACATAGGCAATGAACTTCCCTTTATATGTGAAGGGGAAGGGGATATATTTGCAGGACTACTTCTGTCCACAAACACTGAACCCAACCTGGATAAATTGCCTTTCCAAGATTCGTAGCCCTCTGAGCTAATGATAGGCAGAGCCTTGATGGTTAAAATCAGTAGATTATAATGTCTTCCTCCCTACATCTTCAATCAGACATAAAATTACAAGCATACAGAACATTTCTTCTGGGTGAATGGAAGTCATGTGCGAACTAAAAGGAAGGATCACAAAGAAAATGCCATACACCTACATATATATTCCATTCCTTTCAGTATATATGTACAGTATGTCATTCTTGAAATAACCGGAGGTGGCATTGTGCTTTCTCTCCAATTAGTTATTTCCTCGAAATAGCTAAATGAAATAGAATTCCTGCCTAATAAATGTAAATAACTTTATATCCTTACCACACACATATGCATAAAGCAGGACACGGCCTCCTGAGCGAGCACCAACATGTATGTCCACCCAGCACGGACACTGCCACCCAGCACAGTACCACATCGAGTTACCGAAAGCCATCTTTTTGGCAGTTTATTAAATCATGTGCCAGACAAGCTCTAGTTCCAGTGCCAGTACAGACTCAACTAGTGAAGACATCTCTGTGCTTTTTTTCCCCCTCTCTCATTAGAGAAGATTAGGTTAGAAATTAATTATTTATTTTTAAAGTTCAGCAAAATTATGTTTTAATTGAATGTCAGTCTAGGCTCCTAAGTGCCTAAGGCAGTCTTGAAATAACACGCTATGATTCCCAAAATTTTATACTAAAGCTTCAAGAAAATATCTTTTATAATATGAAATGCGAATCCAAATATGAAAATTGTCCACCAAAAGCTAGAGTTTGTGTTTGTGTATAATTTTCCATTCATATTAATTCTTTGCCTTTTCTAATTAAGATGGTAACTATTTTAAGTAATAAAATGTAATGTGCCTTTCCTTTAAAATATATATTTAACAAAAACTTACTAGAATTGCCAAACTTACAGATGCAAGTTGAAGAAATTTATCTTAATCACCTCATCCACAGGAAAGGAGAGAATAAAAACCACAATTCTTGACCAGTAAATGATCACAATTTCTAAAGCAGAACATTAGAATCCAGTGAGACTCAACTGCTCGATTATGAAATAATTTTAGTGTCATCTGACACTAAATGTGCAATAAAATGAATGTCCTTGTTCCTCAGCACTGAAAAAATATCACCTGAAACTTATCTATATTAGTATAAGAAGTGATTTAAGGGTCACCTAAGTGTCTGGCATCTTCCAGGCTCCTCAGCTGTTGTTCTTGTTAATCAGTCAGTATGACTGATGAGATTTCAGGATTTTTGGTCCGTACAGATCTGTGCATCTCTCCCAAGAGATGAAGTATAAGCCAAGAGCAGGAAAACATTTTTAAGAAGGTAAATATAAGAGTATTAGGACATGGAGAGAACAGATGCACAGAAGCAAAGCAGTCTTTAATCTTGGCCTTGAACCAAAAGCTTTGCACTGTGGAATACAGACCAAAACAGAAATTCCATCTGCTTGTTTGTTCCACACTTAGTTGACACAGAAATACCCCATATGATTTAAAGGATTAAACATAGCTGGGTATATGAGTGACATATTTATGTTTACTTTCCTATGAAAGTCTAAAGTTATGACTTTTGTTTGCCACTTACCATTATACAGATTTTTATAAATTAATTATTTGTGTAACTACAAAGCCTAAATCTCACATTTTTACTCTGAAAGGCAGTGTGCAAACACAGAATAAGGTTAGTCCGTGCCCAAAGAGCTTGCAGAGAATGGAGAAGTCAGCTAGGAAAGAAGCTGACACATACTCACAGCCCAGGGGGACAGAGCAAGCAGTGGCAGGAGATGTATGTTACATTCCCAAATGTCCTATCCCACCATCCCTATTTCTATTCCACCAATAAAAAATATTTAATACTTGTGATTTTAAAATCCTTCACCTTTTCAAAATCACTAGAGAAAATATTTTAGGAACGTCTGTTCTTCACAGTGGTTATTTTTCTCACAGTAAATATTCAGAAAAGTTAGTGTTTCCTGAGAAATCGGGTAATATATCATTAAATATTCACTGCTACTTCTGTTGGACATTCTGTATTAAAAATTGGAAGTTCTGGCTTATCAATATTTATCTCACAAGAAAGAAGTATAATGAAAAATTCATATTAGAACGGACCCCTAGAGGTCATTTAATTCTACACCCTACTTAACCAAGGGCCAATTTCAATGTCACGTCCTGTTCCTCAGACCCTTCTTCTTCTAATAATCATCTATTAAAATTTTGAAAATTTTAATAAAGATGCTGCAACCTCTTTGGGCCCCTATTGCAGCGCCTTATTGCTGTCATTGTGACGAAAGTTTTACTTAAGTCCAACTAAACCACCTGGAGAGCCTACACTCACTTGCACAAGAGCTCTTCCTTTTGTTTTTAATATTTTGGATTTTAATTTCTGTAAGCAGAAAAGCCCAGACAACCGAAATAAACTGACCACATGACATTTTAATGAATTTTCACACAGAATATTTTTAATTACCTTTTTGAATTCTCCTGTCCTTTGATATTCACACAGCATCATGTCAAAGAAAATTGGGATCGTGGCTTTTCGTAGTTCAACTTCTGGAATAAGAGTCATTTCCAAGATGGGTCCAACCATCCCTGGAATGAAGCAAATTTTATTCTGGCCTGAAACAGAAATGAAAATCAGGTATTTGAGAGGAGAGAAAAAGAAAATTGTTTTAGGAAAACACTTAGGACATGCAATCATTTAAAGCAGTGTTTTAAACCATCTACGTTGGTAAAGTCTTAGTCACTCATCTCTATTCCTTCTCAAAAGCTGATAGCATGTTAATGGATATAGTCTCATTCTAGGATGCCAGAAATCAGCATATACACCAGATGAGTTGACATTTTCAGTGAACATTTCAGTTCTTCAGCTTTTGACATCTCCTTTCAAATAGCTGCAGTAATAAAGCTAAGAGTCCCCCAAATTCTATCAGCAGGAGAGTGCCAGACGGTAATGCCACCTGGTGGAACCTTTCTCCCTTACGAAGGAGAAAAACATTACTTGCTTTCATTTGTGAATAACATCAAACATTGTAACCTACAAAAGAAACCAACCAATGCATCAAACATTGCAAGCAGTAATAGAAACACTAGCTATGCAACTCCTAAAACCACACAGAATTATCTTGTAGCACAACTGTTACATCATCTGTCAAATCCAAACCTGCAAAAAACTCAACCAGATGCAAGATGTTCTTGAAATGCTGCTTGTTTCATGGGGAAGAAAAATGTGTGATATGTGGAACAGACCAGCATCAAAATCCAATGACTCGTATAAGGATGTCAATATCGCCCAAAGCTTGGGAGGAGATAAAATATTCCCCTAAGGAAATACGACTAGACTTGTTCTATAACAAAAAAGTAATCTGATTCTGATCTTCCTCTCATATGGGTGCCACACTAATGTAACTCTAAGGGTAACTGAACTACAACTTCAACAGCTTTCTGCAACTTTTTTTTCTTCCACTCATGTTGATTAAAATCGTTATTAATCCTAGTTAAATCAGTAATGTTAATAAGATTGAAAAGAATCTTACGGTGACTGAATAACTTCCAATACCTATACGTATTAGAAATTATACGTCTGTAATTTTTGAAAGCCACAGAAATTCATGCATTACATAGCTGTCCATTCACCTCTCAAAATCTTTGCTCTTCAAAGCAATCCTCTTACATGAGGATTTCAGCTAAATAACGGCAACACCTATTGCTTGATCAAGAGACTAACCTTACACTTAAAACCAAAAGACCTTAGCACACCACTTTAAATAAATACATAAATAAATTTTTTAAAAGTCTTGAACACTATCCTGCCATCACCAACTGGTATTTCCATTTCCAGAATCAAGAATAACATTTCCTCAAACCTTACAATGATTGAATGACTGAAATGGACAAAGGAAGATACTCTGCCCCAGAGAAGGAAGCAATTCAATTCCTCATTTGAAAGGCACTCTTGAGGTCACAGTATGAGATTCACACACATTTGCCTGTTTCAGTCTTGCTGCATATGTATCCCTCAAATGGGGTTTGTACTTAAGATGCTCTGCTGTTTTTCAGCATGCAGATTCCCTTTTGTTAGGGCTACAGCATGAGCCTGAAAATTATAGAAAAATAAATGGAAGGGACATTTATTATTAAGTGAGAATTACTGCATATTAGTTTGAAACACTTCTCAGTCTCTATGCCTCCCATTTTCTATTGGGTATGTAAGACAATATAATATTAAATAAAGTAATAATGCATTTGGATATTAGAAAACAATCCCTTGGTCTTCAACATTATGCTAGATAAAAACTGTTAAAGGCCCTTAAATTTTTATAAAGCCGTTGTGTTTGCTGTTCTTAACATGGACTCTCAGAGTCTGCATGAGTAGGGTGCCAACAGCAAATATCAAACACATACAAGTGGAAAAGTGCTTCTGGAAGATTTGTTGTACTTGGTACTAAAATGAAAACTTGCAAGTTTATTTTAAGAAACAGAGGTTAACAGTTCTAGAATCAAGTGTTCATTTGAAAATTATTAATTTCAAATTTACCCCTACCAGCACTAAAAAGGATGACAGTGGTGTTAAGCCAGAAAATTAATGACTATGCTTAAAACAGGTTTGAGAGTTCACCAATAAATCAGCACAAGTATCAAATCCTTTAAAATCTTTACTACAACTTCCGATACACAGAGATTAAACAAGTTTTCCTGGATGAAATGACTGCATTTTAGCTGAGTCAGAACAAAGAGGACCTCAGGAAAATGGGAAAAATGCTATTAGCTTACACTCAGTATCATCATAATTGCCTTCATTATATATTTCAAAAAGCCTCCATAATACATATTTTAATTGAACAATATATTATTGTTGCCCCTGTTATAGACTCTAAAAGGAGCAGTCCAAACAGATTCCAAATCTGAGACTACTAATTTCTGGAACTGCAGATTCCAACTGAGCAGTAACCTTCTCAGGGAAAATGTACCTGGTTCTCAATCTCAGCAAAACAAGGTTTCTGAAACCTGATTTCAGCAGTCTTGGAAATCTGAGAGGAGGTTGTAAGTTTGCTTAGAAATAAAAAATAGATAGTAGTCAAACAGTATCTCATGTCAGTTCCAAGTTGAACCACAGGAGTGAAAACACTTTTTAAGTTCAAATAGCAGAAATATTTACAAAAGCACTTCATGTCGGATATTTTTCAATGAAACAAGCAATATGCTAGGGATTCAGGTGCAATTAAGTTAATTTCCCTACTCACCAAGTTTGTACCACATGTCACGGATGGCAAAGCCAATTAAACGTCTCATATCTCCATATCTAGAAAAAAAAAAAAAGACATATGGAAGGTCAAAAAAAAAGGACATATGGAATTATAATTTTCTTTATCATCATTTTACCACAAAATTTATGGGAAAACCTAAAGTATACATTTCTGCTTACTTGTTCTGGATTTTGTTGTATTTTGCATGGGAAAAGTTTTCAAGCTGTAGTGAATCCTGGGTAATAAAAGCCACAGCCAAATGAAAATAGTTGTTCCACAGCTGTAAATTGAATACAAGGAAATAGTTTTGAGAAAAGCAGGAATAATATTAAACTATAACGCTGAATAATTTACTAAACCAAATGATGCAAGCAATGAGATTTTTTATTATGCAGACATGTACATCATTAGTATTATGCAATTAGCAGAAAAGCAAGAAAGATGAATTTTAATAACCACTACTACACATTTGCTGTTAATAACACAGGAGCTGAATAAATATTGCTAAAAAAGATTCATATGAGATGCATTAGCTAACAGCATTAAACCATGAACCGCAGCAGGACTAGTGAACACGTTACCTGCCAGTGAATCTGAACAACGTGGAGCTAAAGGCATCCAATGTAACTACACTGTGTTTGAGAACTACTTCAAAAGGCACCTGCTGTCTTCTCTTGGGATTCTGACGCAGCAATGATTTGTGTGAAATTCCACTATATTTTGTTAAGGGCTCTCTACATGAAACAAACTCAAAGTACATCTCTAAATAACTGCTGTACTTGCACTAGAAGAAAAACCCTTGTCTTTCCAGTGCACTACCCTTCGTTTCTGAAGCCAATTACTTGTTCTCCAGACAAGCAAAATGAAATACTACTCTCACATGCTAGGGATGGGAAGGGGAAAAAGAAACTTCACTAGGAAGCACAAATTCAAGGAGGTAAATGCTATTTTCAGAGGCTTCTAGGCAGTCAGCAATGGCTGTAGACACTTCTTTTAAAAACACAGCTGCAGTTAAAAGTATGTGCAGTAGCTATCAGTGAGACAGCAGAGAGGCAAGAGTAAATGTATTCAGTGGTAATTTAAAGGATGGAAACAAAACACCTAACACCATGCTCTTAATTTTGTATGGTGAAATACAACCCTAGGTTGTGAACCGACACTAGAAATAGGTTTCATCAAAAACTTAAGCGATCTCATCCCTTATAACCTAGAAAACTCTCCTGTGCGCTAATAACCAGGTAAAACAGATACCAACACACAAAACCACATATAAAAACTCAGACTTTTCCTACAATACACAGAATTCTCAACTGTCCTCCGTAATGTGACGAAGATCCTGCATTTCATTTATTCCTCCCTTAGAGGCCCAGCTGAAGCTCTCCTTAGCAGACAAGGCTGTTTCTGTCGTTAGGTATTTACAGTCCAGAGAGCACAGTTATCCCTCCTGCAGACACACCGAGCAGCGCTTCGCTGGAGACAGTCAGTAAGCTGTTACATATTACACTATTCAAGGATGCTCTGAATTCACCCAAACCAATTACAGCTTTATTAAAACTACATTGGAATATGAGCACTAGTGAGGCAGCAGCTTTTTTCCCTCCTTAATACCAACATTTAAATTATGTTCATATCTAATTTTTGATTGCATACCAATACTACATACTAATGCAGAGCATTTTTCCCCAGGATAAATGTTATTTATGCCCTGAAAGGCCTGTTTTCCCCCATTATCAAAGATTTTAAAAGATTAATTTGACTAATTTAGAGTTTTCAGTCCCTTGAGAAGCTGTATTTATTGATGTGTAGTTGTAGGGAATATACTTTGCAAGTGTCAATTACACCAGTAAAATGGAAAATTTCTCAAATCGTTCTACATTACGGTGAGAAAAATGAAGCCTTATTACTACAGTTAATGGTCTATTTATTCACTTAATTCCAAGATCAATGCCACCTTTGTCAGAGACACATCCTAAACACTCGATATCTTTATTTATAAAATACATTTCCTTTCATCCTCAGAGTACCCAATGATGGCTGAAAAAATACGATCCTTTGCATCTGAACAGGACGTTCAAGCTAAGGACTTGTAAGCTTTGAACTATCAAAACTACCCTTTAAAGCCCTCAGAAGCAAAGCAGTCTCTCAAAAGTAAAAAAAAAGCAAAAGCTGATATAAAGTGATTTGAAAAACACACACAAAAAGTGCTTATGAGACCTGTTTTGTCAGTCACACGTGCTGGAAGGGCTTCAGATCTGTCCATATCTCTCTACGTTAGGGCTAAAGGAACTTAAAAGAAGAGGATCTCTCATTCTTTTTTTTTTTTTTTTTTTTTTCCCCTCCAGAAAACATGAAGTGCTTTCCCCCTAGAAATATGACTGCTGCAGTATTGGAAAGTGGAAGTAATTTAGTAAGACGTTTCTAGCCATTTCACACAGGAGAGGAGATCTGGATGATTTTTCAGAATAATGACCAGAAGTGAACACTGCTGCGTCCTCCTCCTCCATACACCCCTCTGAAACCAGTGCCTCTTTCGCGCTGACGCCTACCTTTTAGCCATTGTTTTCACTACAGACATCTTTGCTCCACTCTCTCTGATAATGCAGGAGAAACATGAAGTCTTTGGAAGACTTTTTAATTTATTGCAAATTACTGTAGTTACTGAATGCACTTTAGCATAAAACCTAACAGATAAGATGACAGTTTTGTTTATTTTTTTTCTTTAAATATTGTTGTGAAAGCAAGCTCAGCCCCTTGAGACCAGCAGACATAGTACATTTCAGATAGATACTCGGTTCATTACTTTGATTTGGTAGAAAAATGGCACTTATGAACTTTCGGCATCAATGCATAATTGCAAACTGTCTGTAGGTACCACAGGTATTGAGCTAGGTTAGCTAGCAATAACCTTTTGAACCTTTAAATAACATTTATAAGAAATGTCATATATCCTGGAAAACAGTGGATCATTCTCAAGAAGTGATGATTTTACCTCAGAAAAGTTCTCTTTCACATACTGGAATACATTTCTTCATTACTTTAAATAATTTAAAAGGAACATTTTTTTTTTTTTTTTACTATTTCTGTGAGCCTTTTGAGTTCAAACAATTTTTAAACAAATGAATAGCAACTTATGTTTTAAATAAATTGCTTTGAAGAAACACAGCACGTTATATAAACCAACAAAAGTTTGGTTTTTTCCATTTTCATTCTTTAATGATTTTCATGTCACATAATCCCATTCCTTGGTTTCATCATTAGCTTCTTGTTTAATGATGCCACTTAAGAAATATACTTGCAAATAGTTTCTACTTTAGACATCTACCATTCCTATGTTGGAAAACATCCCAAGCCTCTGAAATAAGGCACTACCAAATCCAGCAAAAATTAGTTTTTGTATGCAAAATCTTCCAGAATTTATATCCTGTGTATTTCTTTCCATTCTGAGCAATGAGTCCAAAGTCCAAAGAATTTGCCGATGAAATAAATTTGGTTTTTTCTGAAGAGCCCATCTCAACTCATACATCCCAAATCCAGTATTTATACATCACTGTGGTACGTTTGTTCCACTATCCTGCAAAAGCCCAGCTGCAAAGCATTGATCTGGACAGGCTGTCTGATCTCTGCATCTGAAATTGGCACATTTTTAACAAATTGTTACTTGATAGAAAACAGCAAAAAATGCCAACAGTGCAGTCTCCTTTAAAACTGTATGTTGGGCACATCTGAAATCACCTGCAGTTGCTGTATTTCCAAAGCTAAATCGGCTTTCCTAGTAGAAGCTGCTAATGAAAAAGAGCCAGCCCTACCCTACACCATCCCACCCCACCTCCACCCCCCAGACACCAAAGCCAACCCACAGAGACAAGTCCTCTTACAAATACACAACGTGATCCTGACTAGTAGGCACCAATATGTGGCAAGTAGTCTGGATACTGGCTGGCTGATGAGACAGTTTTGCAATCAATTAGGAGAATCCTTATGAATATAATTTTTTTAAAAAGTATAATGTTGAGAGCAAACACAAAAAAATAAGAGGGAAAAGAAAAAAAAAAGCAATTTACAATCACACAGTTAAGACGTTTTATTGACACCAAATGCAACAAATAAGTTAAAAAAACCCTGAACACCATTAAGACATACATCATCACGATCTTCAGAAAAAAGTCTAACTTCCAACCTCTTTGCCTAACTTATTTTTTCTATTTTTCTTATATATCAACTATACGTCTCCTTATACTATCTTAATACGCTCATTCTGAATAAAGATTCTTAAACTATTACACTTTCCATAGTTGCAAACCTTCAATGACAGGATTTACACTTCAGTGAACCTTTTCTAGTTGTAAACATAGAACATCTATCCGGAAGGAAACATGAGGAGTCAGCTAACCCTGCTCCATATCCCAAGGCAAGATCTGCTAAACTGCTTCAGACAGATGTCTGCTGAATTCTCTACAGAATCTTTAAGTGAGAAATATTTCCGAGCCTTTCTACACAATCTGTTTCAATACACAACTGTGTTTATATCTAACATAAATGCAAGTCAATACCTATTGCAAATACAGAGACATGAGTAGAATATAAACTGCTCGATGTTGAAATTTTTTACCTATTCCAGTAATTCCTACTGAAACTCCAGATCTCTGTGTATTAAATCTTCCTGCTCCAGGTTAATTTCAGTACTGAAGAATGCACATTAATGTATTATGCCAGACTCTTAAAAGGTACCGTATGCATTCACAAGCTTAAGGTACTGTGAGTATTGTGAGCCCTCATTCATTCTTGCTTCATGGTTTATTTTTGGTCAACCACTTCATGGAAATTCCCTCCCTTCTCTCCTGCAAGATTATGTGCTCTAGAGCTAACTGGGTTTTTTTGTTGTTTTTTTGTTTTTTTTGTCTGCACAATAGTAAACACTCCGTAACAAAAGCCTTTTAGCTTTACTGTTCTAGGTTTTGCTGTATGATGACATTGAAGAATACCTGCTGTATGCAATCTCTAATTGTGGCTTGTTTTCTGAGGGTCACTGACCTACGTCTGAATACATCCAGCACGTGAACTTTGCATGCAAAACTCAAAAAAATGCCGGAGAAAACCACCTCCTTACCCAGTAGACATCAGGTGACTATTTAATTCCCTCTAAGAACAATGATTCTCAACCCAAACAGCAACTCTGGCACTTGCTGCCTGCTCGCTGCAAGGACAACATCAGTGTCAAAGCACTGGAATTTGAAAAAGGGCTCTTTACTTAAATGGACTCCGTGAACCAAACTTCTTACA